GAAAGTGAGGCATGGGTAGGTAAATGGGTTGGTACACAACACAAACACATCATTGGCAGGTCACGTGCACCAAAGCCAGTATCATATTCACCAGAACACTGTGTCTTCTGGCAAATGGAAACAGGGTGGGCAGACTAGCTATGCTACAAACTTTTGAAAATAGGTGTGTGCTGGAGACGATAAAGTTTTATTTATAATTGCCCTAGAGTTTATGAAAGTTAATTTTAAGCACGCAGGCTTGAGGATTCAAGAACAAATTTGAAATTCACACTTGAGCTGCCTGGTGACTTAACAAATCACAGGGTAGAAACAGTGTCACAGGATTTTCTCTAACTGCTACTAAACATAAAGCACCCTTGAACACATATCAGTTTAGCGACTTTGACTTTTGTTTACATGGGGGAAGTGAGTGAAGAGTCAAGTCCAGAACATTTAATATTTGCAACTGATTTTTTTTAGCTCAATCAAGCATAATGATCACCAGGTTTAGTGAACACTGACATACATGAATAAAAATCTACACACCAGATTTTATTCTGGAGCAGGAAGCAACCCCTGTAGGCCCTGTGTCTGTCTTTGATGAACTGGCTAGCTACTTAACTGAGGGACCACTCCAAATTCCCTACTCCCCCAGGATCCCATTACGGAGCCTTTCTAAATGATCATTTCTATCCCTCTCCCCTTCCCCTCCCCTCTCCCCCTGCACCTTGGCTTTGGATATTAATTTTGAACTAAGGGCCCAATTCTGTACCCAATGAACTCAATGACAAAGTCCCATTTGCTTAAATATGAACAAGCTTTGATTAACAGGTGTTGTATAAGTGTCTTAGGGACAGAAAAGGGCCAACTCTGTCAAAATTTGTCCCACTTTCCCCACTGAGCCTGGAGAAAAAATTATTCTGTTCTGACCCTTTAGTTGGTACAGGCTATTTCCTTCCTTCCCTCCAGCTTAAGTCCGAAAACGGCAAGGGCGAGGGGTTGATTACAAATAGAGGTAAGCATGAGTTCGAGTCCCCCAAACACGTGGAACGGGAAAGGACAAGTCAGAGCCCATGCTATCCTAACAGTGAGAAGACTGAAATGAAATGTGTTCATACTTCCCATGAAAACACATATTTTCTTCTTGAATTTGTTTCACTAGAAACTTTACTGATTTGGTTTTGTGATTGTAGCAGGGGACTAAGGTGCCTGCTACTGGAAGAGCTGGGATAACCCCTCAGGTGCTGGTTGCTGAGGCAACTTGTGGGAACTAATGACCCACATCTGCCGAGCCAGCTGACGAGAAGGGGCAGGGCCTGGCTCCTATATAAAGCCTCGACCGGCAGCCAAGGAGGAGGGAGCTCTCAGCCATGTTACAAAGGAGAGGCCTGATGAAGGAGCTGCATCTGATACTGCGGCGAGAGAAAGGATCCCTGGTAGGACTCAACATTGTTATGGCCGGGTGGCTTCTGTTTATGTTGTAGCCAAGAGGCTTGTGTTTTGTGCTGCTATTTGTTACACTGGTGGTTTGGGTGAGGCTACTAGGGGTTGGAGGAGGCCTCATAGGGGACTTGCAGTAGAGTGGGGACCCCAGCGCCAGTGAGAGTGCAGTATTTGGGGTGCACAGATGCCAGCCCCAGACAGGGGCAGTTGAGAAGCCCCAGAGAAGGGGATGTTGCTGAGAAGCCCCAGTGTGGGTGTGGTGAGCCCCGGAGAAGGGGGCAGTATTGTGGTGAGCCCTGGAGAAGGGGGCAGCACTTGAGAAGGCCCTGGAGAGGAGGGCAGCATTACTGAGAAGGCCCTGGAGAGAGACAGGGCTGCGAAGCACCCGAGCGCCAGAGAGGGCACGGAGAGAGAGACAGAACAACGTCCGTAACATCTGCAAGGCTTGGGGCATGGTATGGGGGTGGTTGGAGCCATGCATAGCCCATAAGGCTAGAGTGTAGACAAACTGGAGATAATCGGATAACCGTGGAACAGAAGACGATAGGCAGCCTCCCTATAATTGACCTATATATATAGGTCAAAGTTGTGGTGGGCGAGAATAGGAGGGTACGAGTTGGCAGCTTGGCATGGTAAAGGAGGCGGCAGGGGAGAGCACGGCCACTCTGACCGCCCTCTGGTTACAGAGATGATAACAAAAACGAGCAAAAAATTGTCAGCTCCCTTTGGAAGAATGTTACTTGGAGTTTTAGGGATACTCTCTCTTTCTGGTGCTTTCTTTTTAACTCTTCCTGCATCTTTCCTGGTAGAAATGGAGGTGGAGAGTAAGGCCAGATGGTGTTCCTCCCTACTCTGAAAGTTTCAAAAACCCAACAGCAATTTTTAATTTTTTTTTGTCAAACAATTTATGGCCATAAAAAGCCCTATTGTTTCTTCCTAAAGAAATTTGGACAGGTCTCTTGTGGTCCTTTGTGCTAATGTGGTATTGCCTAGTGCTCCTTTCACTGACAAAAAACTCTTGTGTGTGGGCAAGGCAGAGCACTTGGCCCGTGCTTCTCTCTGATGCAGGATTCAGTCCCCTTTTCTTCTTTTTTTATCATCTGCATTTGCATAGTGCTTATGCACAATACTCCGTACCTGTACTATGAAGGAACTGTCCCCATCTATCAGCCTTAAGTATTCATACCGGGCCCTCAAGGTCTGCCTATCACAGTTGCTATGCAGCTCAGGCTTTCCCGTATATAAGCATATGGTAGGGTTCTTGAAAGCAGAATTGCTGCTGTTGTTATTTTTAATGATCACAACAAATCTCTTTTCGTTAAAATAATGAGAAACTGGAGCTGATGAGCAGCTGCTTTATGAAGCCCTTACCAACCACCTGTAGCCTGGGAAGTTGTCAGGAAGGAATCATTAAAGGTTTAGGGATTTTTTTTTTTTTTTGTAACCACTCTAAATTAATAACCAACAGCTTGGATATTTTCTGATTAGAAATGCATTCTCTTTGCTTCATTGATTCCTAATCACCCCAATTGTGGGTTTCTTTCACCCCAATTAGCCACATTCCACACTTCTAAGAAGTTTTGCAGGTGTTCCTTTGCTAAGTTTGGGCTAAATTATAGCTTATTCCTCTCTGAGTAAGGATGGCGTGTGGCTCTGCTGCCCTAGGAGAGGAGGAGTGAATTATGAGTCACATTGAATTCCCTTTCTATCTCCTCATACCACAAAGAAACTTATCTCCTTCGAGCACAGACCACTGCAAAATGACTTGCCTTTCTACAGTAGCATGGGAAGGAGGGGAAAAGAGCTAGGCTAGTCATTGCCTGCCTCTGCCCAGCCATCTTCCACCCGCACTGCAGAGGGTAACACGGGCAGCTAGGGCTTGCCTTCTCTGCAAAGCTAACTCCAGTTAAAGCTCATGTGCTGCCCCTCACTTGATCTCTCTCTCTCTCTCTCTCTCTCTCTCTCTCTCCATTTGCTTGAGTGTTTCTAACCAGCCTTGACTGGCTGGAAATGGGATAAAGACTAAAGCAGTAATCATAGCTGCTCATATGACCACCCCACAGCATGGGACCTTATACAAGTGCAACTAGTCCTCCAGTGCCATCCTATGGTTCCCCAGTTTTCCCAGAACGGATAGCTATGTTCTCTTACAAAATGCTGTAAAAATCCCAGTGGTCTGGCCTTGCTTCCTGAAGCACTAAGTATCATGGCAAGAGCCCCCAGAAGCCTTAGTGCAGCTGTCTGGGCACTGCAATGACTTATTTTGCAGTGTGATGGCTGTCACTTGAGTAAAGTTAATTCA